TACAAATTTTAGTCAAAGAACACTTGTCATTGAGATATCTTTGTGGCCCCATGTAATCACTCAGCAGGCCAAATCTCACACAAAGCAACCTCTGTGAGTATGTTTTCTGACACTGTGTCCATCCAAAGGGGTTAGACAAGCAGAATTAGCCAATGGATCAGTAATAAAGGCTTTCTATTAGTCCTGGCCTTTGCTGGAACAATGGTTTCATTTATAATCCCAACATCAAGATGTCAGTTTGGAAAAGTCACAGCAGAACATTATTTCTAAGCTTCTGGCTGCTTTGAACACTGCCGTATTCATTTTCCTCCTGAATCCATATTTACAGGCTAAGTGTGTGTTTGCAACATGTGAGCTGCTAAAGAAAAATAACTAGGGTTGCTACTGCCCCTAAACAGAGAAGGTCAGACACAAAATTATTTTCTATAAATAAAATTCGATAAAATTCAGCTGTATTAGTTATTCCCACAAGTTCCTTTCAAATTGTTAATTTTCATTAAGAAAACATAACAGTACAAGCCACATCATGCATGTATTAGTGAAAGACATAAGAAGAGAGGGCTAAACCTAAAAAGATTCACAACATTATTTTTTATTCCAATGATCCATTTTCTTCTGATAGGATCTTTCCAGAAGTCTCAAATGATTTGAAAACTGCCAATTAGACAGCAGCAAGGGACCAAGGGGGAAAATTCAGTTCAAGAAGCTAAATAGGAGAGTAATAAAATTCATTCTAAGGGTAGCATGATAAATGAAACATCAAAAAAAAAAAGAAAAAAAAAGAAAAAAGGAAAGAATCAAATGCAATGAGATGTGAACTGTTCCCTCCCAGAAATCTTTGAAATCCTATTAGCCTGTAATCAGCCGCAAATGAAAAGCAAGTCCCTTAAGCATAGCTGAAAACACTCAGTCTGTCCTGACTCCACAGTGATTTGCCCCAAAGCAAACCCCAGGTTGTTTTGCTCTCTGGTACCCACTGCACAGACACACATGTATATATTTATAATTTAATTACGACTTTCCAGTTTACTTCTGCATGGCAGCTCCTAAATTTTCTCTACTAAAGATTTTGCCCACAGAGTTGTAAGGAACATAACTTTATCCTTTAGGAAGGTAGTTAGGATGACTCTCTACTACATTTTTCCTTCAGTTGTTTCAGCACAGCCAAGGAAACGGCAAAGATGATTTCATCCCAAGCAACAGAATGTCAAACATTTGCCTCAAAAACACTTGGGTGCATTGGTACAAGGACACAGAAGGGACACATGGTGCTTTGCTCGTTACTCTGGCCAAGGACCCCCGTCCTGCTGCTGTGGCAACCCACACTGCCCTCAGCCCTGAAGCGGAGCTGCCTTTGCTGCCCTGCAGCCCCTCAGCAAGGGCAGCACCCACCTAACCACGGAGCAGACACAGGGGCAGCTGCCCATCCTCTCGGCAACGTGGCACTTCAGGAAGAAACTGGGCTGTTTCTAGACAGAAGCAGCATAAAAGAAGCAATGCAGGGGGGTGAGGAGGGGAAGACAAAAGCCACTGCCTTTAGCTACAGAGCCTTTTGGTCAGGCTTGCAGACCCTGACACCACGCATATACTATAGTTTCCAGCCACATGAAGCCATTTCACTGGGCACCCAGCGAGCTGAGAGAGGTCATTGTAATTCATAACAGGGAAGGCTGTTATGAGCATCACCCTATTATGATACACATTTTCTCTGAATTTAATTTATAGCAAAACATGTGCTGCATAAATTCAGGAAATAATCTCCATATGTTCTGCGCTGCAGCCCTCAGCCACTCCGCAGGCTGCAATATATCCCAGTTAGGCACTGACCACTTTGCTGGCACTATCATAATGTATGTCATGTAGCTAATGTGCTGCTCTTGGCTGGGAGCAGAGAGCTACAGATCCCTAACGGGGCATTCAATGAATCCCAGCCTGCAGTCCCCTGCTGCTGCCACTGACACCCAGCCGATGGGCCACCAGTAACCAAGCTGCAGAGCTGCCCAAAGGCCAGGGTGATGGGCCCCAGGAAAAGCCTGATGTGCTGCTTGCGGTTGGGGAGCTACGGCCACCCCACACTGTGCCCTTCCTGGGCTCAGCATACTGGGTGTAATGAATTCCTACCCAGCCCAGGCTCCGCTGCGTTGTCAAAACGCGCACTCTGTAATTTAACAACCATCAAAGCCCAGGACTTCTCCCCATCTGACGGCGGGCCCTCAACACCATTTGAAATCGAAAATCAAACCAGCTGTGCTGTCTGCCTCCCTTCAGGATTCGGAACCCACTCATCTGCTTCAACTCTGGTGAGAAACCGATTACAAGAGCTGACAGCGATAAACTTAAGGGTGAGGAGGGGTGTATTTACTTACACACAATTTGCTCCATTTTTTTTCCTTTTGTAAGCAGGAAAAGCATTACAATGTGCCTTACTGCAAAAGAACAACATTTCTGCCAAACACTTTAAGTGAACACTTCAAAATGCACCCTAATTTATATCCTTACGATACCTTTACAATATATATCCCTATTTATGCCATTAAAAGATCAAAAGACAAACATATGTATGCATACATGCATGCACAGCTCAAAATGCTTCAGAAATATGTTGTTACTTTTAGGCACCACAGTGTGGAAAATGTAAAGATATCATAGCATTTCCCTGTGCTCAGACCACAAACTAAATTGAAATGTTTATGTGCAAATACTATTTCATACTATGAAACCGCTGAAAAGTCTCACACAGGCCACAGGACCTGAAGCCTCTCAGGGCAGTATGTGAATGCTGTGAAATAAGGTACAAAGTTTACATGATATAAGGAAATTCTGATGCTTCAAAGGCAATGGAACTCCTGCCACTGGCTCAGTGGGGCCAGATTTTACACCACGCATGCAGGGAACGCCACACTTAAGTCTTCTCAGCGGCAGGCTGGGAATGCCTCAAGGAATTAACAACACACTATCCTCTCCCATCATCATTCACACAGGTAGAGGGAACCCATTATCCCAGAAGACTACCCGAGCATGGCAGGTTAACATCGGCTGTATTAACGTTAATGACTTAGTTAACGAAATCCCACGAAGTGGGATGCTTGTGGAAGCAAGATGGCGATGACACCACGGTCCTTGCCGCCAGCTCCTCTCTTGCTATCTACTAACTGTAGCACATTTGGCGAGGACTCGGGAGAATAAGTCTTGACGGATATCTGAGAGGTTGGATTTATTATGACAGGGCATTACTATCAATAGCGATTCACTTTAATTCATTGCCTCACAATAAATGTCTTATCTGAGGCATAAAAGCATACACTGAAAGCACTCAATTGAGAAACAATTCCATTTGTATCTCCTATTCAAAGTATTTTTTTCTCCGGTTCCTTATTCTCACTTACCAAGGACATTTGCATGAAAATAAGTTCTTACTCAGAAGAGCTCACCTGCTGCCTGCTGTTTGGGAGCTGTAAGCCTCCCTGTTGTTGGCTGTTGCAATCATTTCTACAGCAGTGGTTTGGGATAACACAAGGGATTAAGAGTCTGCAAGTGGGGCACTATCCATGGCCCACTGAAGTCTATGGAAATTTCTGCCTATGACTCAAAAGAGTTTTTATGGGGCCTTTGAATCCTGGCAGTGCTGAGCCTTCACTAATAGCATGTGCTGTAAAAAGGCTTCTGCTTCCAAGATGCTGCTCCTGCCCAAGATCTCGGTTTTTGTAATAGCCTGAATTACGTCTTCTTTCAGAATCTTCATTAAAGCTTAAGCTTCTGTAGTTCAAAAGTTTTTCATTCCCACTTTAATTTGCTCTGGGTCTAAACAACTTCATCTTTTGGTCATTTTTTTCCTGAGAGTTTAGATGATGTAATAAATGGATCACCAAATCAACAGAACCAGAACGAAGAGATTAGGCTTCAAGAAACCAAAGGAAAGAATGACTAGAGATTCTTCCCATGCTTACTACCAGAGAGAAGACACATAAAAACGCCACTTTTTACCAAAAGCCACAAAACTGCCATCCAGAGCATTAACAGTGAAGGAATCTGCTCCTCTCACCTGCCAGGACGTGCCTGCTCTCCCACTTTTCATCACTCCCCCTTTGCATCTTTCTCACTCTTTTTTGATGACTAAAAGCAAACAGAAATAGAAAGACAGGATGGAATGACCTGCAGAGGCAGGGCTCAAGATCCTGAGAAACTCCCTTCCCAAAATGTATTATTTGCTCACAAACTCTGCGACTGCACCAGAAGAGGGTTCTGCCTTTTTGCTGATGAGTTTGGAACCCGCCGCGAACATCATGTTCGCCAGGGAGATACGATAACTGTCATAGCATCTAGTCCTGTAAATGCCCGTGAGCATCACCAGTTAGACTCTCAGAGGCACGGAGGCAGCAGCACTGCCAACTGGTGCCGTGCAAACACCTAGAAGCCTGATCCTGCAAGGCACTGAGCAAAACCCATCTGTGCTCAGCATCTCAGGAGCATGGGCAGCAAAGGAGTTCACCTCTCTCTTTTTGGGGAGTAAGACCTCAAAATTTTGCCCTGGTTTGTTACACTCTGAGCAGTGAACTCCGAGGAAACAGTCCTCTGCAAGCAGTAAGGGGGTTTTAGCTGTGTCTGTTAGCTGCAAGCATGAGGCTGTGCTTGGCAGACAGGCGTTGCCTGACAAGGTTAGCTTACTGTCCCATTGCTATCAACCTGTGGAGGGGATGAACTAAACAAATAATCATATTAGCTTCCAGCCAACCAAATCATAATTACTGACAACCTCAATAGCCCGTGCAAGGAAGCGGTCTTCTGTTTTCCCTAAAGCCAGATGGCATGAAAAGAGAAGAAAAAGAATCAAAAGGATGTTCGTGGCTTAAGAAAATAAGATTAGAAAGTGAAAAAAAGCATCAGACCTTCAAAAAATCCCTCTAATTTTGATACCTTTAAAAATTCAAACTGCAGACGTGAGTTAGTGATCTGTACAAATCCATTATCTTTCCCCACCGAGAAGAGAAGCCAAGTGGAACTGAGCTGCTTTAGTCGGACACTGGTCAAGTAGCAGCTTCATTTCTCAGCTGGTGAACACAACATATTCTGTGCCAGATGCCACTGCCCTTTCCTCAAGACGAGTAGCCACATACTTCATAAGCAATTAATAGGGCTATTTGTGGAGCAGGGCACTACTTAGGAAGAGCATACTACAGCTCACAGGTACCACCACTGCGAGGGCTACCGCTGATGTTAATCTGGACAGACAAGGTTTGGTATTTTGGCATTTGATATTGGACACAGAGGCAGAGAAGCAGAAATGCACGTCTGCTGTGTGCGTAATTTATCACCCACACATGCTTAGCATCAGTGATTGCTGCTCTGCACATGATTTGTTTTGAATGTATAAATTAAAGCCAGGGTGTAAAACAACCTCTAAAACTGAAGTCTGTTTATGAGCCAAACACATGTAACTTCTCTGAAAGAAGCCGCGCATGGACAAGAGAATTTTAAGACTGAGTTCCACCTCATTTTCCTTTCCACATCAGGGACCTTGGCTTGCTAGTTTCCACCTCCTGCCCTACCATTTTCAATATCACTTTAATCGATTGTGGTTTATAGATTACGGCCTCGCACAATCTACACAACAAACTATTTCATTTCTTACTTTCTGACATCCCATTCCATCATCTTTTAGCAACAGTGACTTCTTTATTGGATAGCTTTTTATTTTTAAAGCTGTGAAATAAAACATCATTGCATTTATTCAAATATGAAGATTAATTCCATCTCGAGAAAAATTCTGATTAAATCTGGATTTATGTTTACATCAGTAAAGCAGGTTATTAAAAAAAATGAGAAAGTGTTCCTTCACAAATGCTATTAGAAACTCTTGTCACTGTGCCAAGCAAAACTGACCTCTAATAAAAACAAAGAGGGCCTCTGACTACCAGTGATGGGATCAGTCATCCCCAAAAAGCCTGCGATACTATTAAAGTCCTAATGAAAGGAATGGCCAGAAGGAACTCCTGAATGTGGGGCATGTTTGTGTGGAACACAACCATTTCCTAGCCTCCGCAAGCTTTTGAGCCTTAAGAAAACATGCCCCCCAGGGTTGCCATATGGAAAGAGGCAGAGGGGACTAGACAACCTTTTGGAAAGGCAAATCAGTGCACTCAAGTGTTATTCCCTGTCTCCACCCTGTGTCAGTCAGTGTCTGGAGCTAGCTGTCAGATTAAGATGTGCTCTGCTCCTTGCCTTTCTGCTCTGCTGTTGCAGATCTGAGACTTCTGTGTGAACATGGCAAATTGCTGCAGTCTGGTGGTGTAGGTGGATACAGGAGAAAGGGCGGTTTAAGCATGGGTAAAACCACTGCAAGGGACAGAAACAGAAAGTTCACATAGCCTCTGCAAGATGCTGATGATTTAAGAACACAAATATGAGACCACAGAAAGAGAAAGAAAACTGCAAAGCCAGAAGAAAATGTTAGTGATGCTAAAGAAACCTGAGAGCAGTCTACAGTTGTCACCCAGGCTGCACAAAGTAATCCATACTCAAGTAGCCCCTTTGTGAAAGTTTGATTTCATTAAGCTCTGGCTAATTATTTTCTGCACAACAAGATGGTAGATGCAACTAGACAAAGACCTTGTAAATTCATGTATGTTGAAAATGGCAAATAGGTATTAGACCACCTACTACACCCTGAGGATCTAACACACCTCTTGTCCAATGCAGAGTCAATTTAACATTGCATAAGGAACAAAATGGTCCTGCCAATATATTTTCCACTGCTTTCTCCCATAAAAACACCACCCAAAAATGTCCATTCTAATTTTTAACAGGAGACTACATTACTTAAGTGAACAGACTTTTTTTAAAAGTCCTATCCCTTTTCAGTCTGGAGTGCTCCTATAGATATGTAGTGCTTAGGTATTCTGACATGTTAAAGACACCAAACAGCACAATATTATGTTTTTCTATAACCCATACATATTTTATGTACTTAAAATTTTAAGCTTAAACCAACAATAACGAACTGCTCTGGCTCCATGTACTTCATCTTCCCCAAACAGGTAAAAGAGCATATCTCCTAACAAAAAGTTAATGACGCATCGGTAGCAATATATTCATTCACTATTGACATTGGACATGTTTGTGTTTTAAAGTGCAAACACTGACTGGAAACTTGAAACATGAAGCAAACCAGCCATGGCAGCAGGCAGGCTTTAGACTCTCTGCATCAGGAGCCACGTCGCTGAATTTCACCATTGCCTGGAATACAAATCTTATGACATAATAGTAGCAAAATGCAAGAATTGACAGATACAATGGATATCCGCCCTGGGGCTTGCTGGCAACTTTAGTTATTAATTCTGTTTATAGAACAATAGCATCAATGTCACCCTAACGTTACATATTCCAAGAAAACTACCTGCTCTCCTGTCAGTCACCACTATATTGAAACTAATTTCACACAGTCCACCTAGCACACATCAGATGGCAGTGACTTCTAGACATCATTGATCTGAGTTGGCCCAAAGCCAGCATGCTGGGGGTAAACCACTCCTGATCATGCGAGCAAAGTCGTGGTGGCAGCACACTTTAAGGATCAAACAAAAGCCCTCAGCATGCTGAACCTCCCTGTTTCTTCCACTCCCCTAGCAAATCCAAAGCCCCCCGCAAACGAACTGGCAACCTGGTCATGTTAGTAAGGAGGCAAAAGGCAGTGAGTCCTGAAATTAGCCAATTTTGTTTGGCTTTTTCTGAAGTTACCTTCATCTGTTACAGCAGTTGGATAACCCTGGACTTTGGCTGCCGCTAGATTCCTCTTCTGCCACAGTACCATTCACTTGGGGCTATTTACATAGCTCGGCGCTAGAAGTGGAAGCCTGAAAGTGTACAGGCAACTTAAAATGAATATAAAATATGAAAGTGGTTTGAGCATTTAAAAGAAATGAGAAAAACTGTAATAATCCATCTGGTTCAGAGCAGAGCCCCTTTCCACTCTTTCATCCTGTGTCCTCTCTTTTACAGTGACGCAAACACCAGCAATCTCAGCTCAGGCTTATTCCTCAAACTTAGTCTCTTGCTGGTTTCCCTACCGGCTTCACATTGCATTTCTCTCCTCCCTGTTATTTGTGACTCCTTCATACTTAAATGCCACCTACAAAGTATGCTATTTTCTTTCTTCCATGCCATTAAAGATAATGTCAAATAAGATGAAACTGAAAACCAATCTCTCTGGCATCTTACTGGAAACATGCCCCTGCTCACTACGTTACTGCTTACCCTTGCCTTTATTTTTTTTTTTTCCGATTTCAGGCACACATGGCCACATCCCTTTCTCAACGCTGTTCAAATGAATCTCTTCAACCGCTATTCTGAAATCTAGGTTTCTTAGACCTGTACCATCTCACTGAATCTTAAAGGTCCATATCCTGCAAATAGTACGGATGTGCTTAACTTTACATATATAAGCAGCTGCATTAAAGAAAATGGGAGTAATTGCCTGCTACAGCAGATGCAAACGTGTTTTCAGGATAGAGAAAATGGGATAATTTTGTACTTCTATTTAAAGAACACAGATCCATTTCATCTACCAAATTTCATTCTTTCCAAGAGCTTTAGTGATGATGGTTCTGTTTGATGTCTTCATTCTTTGTCAGTGGGAGTCTCCCTATTTACTTAAATGCAACCAGAATGCCAAACCAGATGTTTAGTAATTTGTTCTGATGTATTACTGGATACTATGGATGACAAAACATTGGGCTGAGCACTCTCTGCCTATGAACTCTTCCAAAGCTTTTCAGCATTATTGTTGGTACAGTAATTAGCTAATTCCCTTAATTTTGGAGAGGCCATATCGACCAAAGCAGATGGAAACTGATGATTAAGCTTTATCACAACATTTTTGTAGGCTGCTACCTTTACTTTCGCCTCTGTTATTAAAAGGATTTTCAACGCACTGGATATTTTTTAAAACTCCCAGGGAGAAGATTTTCAAAACAAAATCTGGGCCAGACTTTCAACAGCTTTAGCTCAGATAAAGCAGCAAGATTTTCAAGGTCTTTGATGAACAATCTGGCCATCAACATCACCCCAGCGACCTGCTGGATGCTGGGCTCCACTGAACAACAGCATCTGCTTTGTTCCCTGCTCTACCTCTTTTAACATTTTCTCTCCCAGGCTTTTTACCCAACAATAGACCTTTGTTCGTCCTTTGAGGAACTATCATCATTCTGATGAAGAGGTCAGAGGATTTCCAGCCGATATTCAATTCACTTTTTCCCCAGAACTGGGAAATTCTTAGATCTCTTCCCAGAC